ACCTCCCTTCTATTTCATTCTCTGCTAATTTTCTCCCAGTGTCACTGTCTCTTGGTAAATTATGTTAATGGTTATCAAATCACCAATGTCCTAAAAGAGTATGACTGCCATGAAATAAGGGAAACAGTGGATTGATTTTTTTCTTTCTTTTTTTTTATTTTGGTATCAGCAGTCATTTGGTGTAGATTCTCATTTCAAATGATTTGTTTACCCATCGATTGCAATAAATTGCTGTGCTGCTGAAAATACCCCTAAGAGTAGAGTGAGATGAAGGACAAACCTGTCATTCTGGTCACCTCCTCTGATGATCCCCTGTGTAAATTACAAATAGTTCTTAATCTGCTCAAATGTCATGTTATCATTGAGACCTTCTCTGACCTCCCAGTATAAAATTACAATCAGCATCCCTCTTCCAATGCCGCTCTCTTTCGGTCGGCTTTATTTTTCCCACAGCACCTATCATCACACAGCATTATACAGCATTGTGTATTTATTTGCTTAGTGAATCTCCTCCACCTGGAAAGGAAGCACCACAGAAAGCAAGGGCTAGAATTTGTTCAACACTTTATCCTAAGAGTTGAGACAAGCCCCTTCAATGCAGTCATATAGTGGGTGATCAATATGAACTGTGAATGCATAAAACTTTTATCTTTCAGGTCTGTGTGAAGCTGTGAGAAAATGCATGTTTTGTCAACCTTTACACAGAGTTGCCTGTCCAGCTGAGGGCAAGGAGAAGGGTGCCTTTCTCCAAAAGACAAATGAGAAACCCAGCTTTCCCGTGGTCCTTTATGAATAGAGAGGTATGAGGCGCCCTCCAAAGCAGACAGGCTTACAATTCTAAGAATAACAAAGTAGAGGATCTCAGAGAATGCTGTCCATGGTGCTGCTTCTGTTGGATAAAAACAGGGGCTACAAAATGTAAGAGGGGCTTGAGTGAGTGAGAGTAGCTATATCTAGTGAAGCTAAACAAGGCTTCCTATTTCAAGGTTTCTCGGATGCTCATGAGGATTCAAACAAAACCTCAAGCTGTTTTTCAAAATAAAAAATGAAACACAACTCATTGGATCTTGGGCATTTTCTCTTGATCAGGCAGTACTGCCTCTAAGACAAGGCTGTGATAGGCACACCACCTCTGGCTTGGCTGTAGAACATACCATGGTATCTTTCTGGCTCTACTTCTTATGCACTTTAAGTGACTTTGTAAGTTTCTTAGCACTTCTCTAGGCTTGATTCCCCTTCTCTGAAGGAGGAATGACAGGGATCACCCAAGATGTGTAAAATGACTAAGTTCAAACTGAGTCGTGTGTGGGGGGGGGTAATTAACATCCCCTTCATCCCATGAAGGGGTAAATGCCTTTTAAACAGATTTCTTCAGCAACGGTTTTGGGAAGAGTTTCTTATGTCCCCAGAATCAGCCTGATGTGCTTCCTCTTCCTTAGGTTCTAATACCTTTTCCCCATCTGAGAATCTTTGCACACCTAGGCTGAAGGTGAACAAACATCATCTCCCATCAAGGGTTAATATAAGTATATGACAGCTCCCTTTTACAGTATACAAGACCAAGTTCCTTTGTCCCCACACTCCTGGTCATAGATGAAGATGCTTCTGTCAGGACAGAGGTGGTAGCATCCAAGTTCATGGTTATGCAGATGACTGCATGCTGACAGGCTTCAAAGTGACCATATTTTAAAAGTAAATCTCAAATAAAGGTATGATCTGTGTAAATCTGACCCCTTCCGGTAAAATGTGCATTTACATATATTTGGAATTTATAAATCCTGACAGATTCCACAATATTTATAGCCCTCCATAAAAAGCCTTTGCCAGTTTGCAGAGCTTTGCATTTGGCTCTCTGGTATGCTTAAGAGAGTTTAAATAATAATAAATTTGGTGATTTATTCCACCTGGAACAGAAAGTTATCCGCCTCCCCCACCCCCACCCCCGCCCCAGCTCATTTTGAAGGGGATGCCTATAAATAGTGCCACAGACGCTGGGATCAGGAATAGGGAATTGAAATTTGAGAGAGAAGTACAGCAACATTTCCATTATCACTGATTTCTTGAGTATATTTTTAAAACAGTTCTGTTCCTCACATAATATCCCTTCTCTCCTTTCTCCTGCCTCATCTCAATTTTACCTGAGTCTCCCAAACCTGTTGCCAATGTTCAGATTCAATTGCTTTAATGGGAAAGGGGAAAAGAGAGTATTAGCTGACTAGGTAGGAGCAAGCCACCCCTAGGGAGGACGGGGCAATTCTTCAGTGCCCATCTTGTATTTCATAGGAGTCAGCAGGTAACTGAGTGTCTATATCTACAGTGTAAATTAATTACTTGAGATCCATCTCACACATCCAACAGATGATGTGATCAAAAACTCACAGTTCATAAAAAGAATAAGAAGAGAATTCTCAATGTAATTCTAAATGAAAGACTGAGGACAGTATAAGAAAATAATTTCTTCCAAGCAATCATGTTCACAAATGTCTAGAATAGGGGAGGGAATATGGTAATCCCTCTTATCCATACTTTCATTTTGCACAGTACCAGCTTCTGGTGGTCAACTGGGATCTAAAATATTAGATGGAAAAACCTGGAAATAAACAATTTGCTTAAGTTTTACTTTGTGCACTGTTGTAAGCAACGTGGTACGATCTCTTACTCTTTGTTTCCATCCCATCATCTGTGGGTAGGAATAACCCTTTTTGTATTCACACTGTAGATACTACCCACTCATTACTCACTGAACAGAAGCTCCAATCCTCAGAGCAGCAATCCCCAGCATTACAGTATTCATATTCCACTAGCACTACATCAAGAACATCTATCTGTATCACCCGTTTACATCATTTCATCACATAGGCATTATATAGCCTATATTGGTCCCCGAAGGAAGAGTGTACAAAGATATTTTGAGATTGACCTCATTTACATAGTTTTATTATAACACATTGTTCGATTAGGAGTCATTGTTAAGTCCTTACTGTCCAAAACTAAGTATTTTCATAGGTTAAGTAGGTTTAGGGGGGGGGGAATAAGCATATACTGGGTTTATTGTGACCAAAGGCTTTAAGTATTCCCTGAGAGTCTTGTAATATATCCCCCCACAATAAGGAGAACTATAACAATTTACTGTACCTGAATAGTGACTTTGGATATTATTATTTGCTTTTCTTTTTAAAGAAAAATTTAAGCAATACCAAGTCATTCTCTCCACATTCTACCAGGGGAGCTAGAGAAGAGGCACTTAGTGTAGAAGAAGCACTGTTACAACTTGTGACATGACAGGGAGGTTTATTTCCAGCTTCTTGTTTGAGTGGGTTGTAAAGGAAGTAGCATTTGTAAGGAGAATAATAATTAACATCCACGAAGAGCTGCCCATGGGCAGATGCAAAGTCATAAACACTCAAGTGTCTGGTTGGGTGTACAGCACCGTCTCCAGTGCCTGGAGCTGGTCCTCCACAATCTGAAGACTCCACATCTGCAGTCAGCCAACCATGGAATGAAGATATGGGAGGGGGTGCAGAAAGTTGCCAATGGCAAAACATGACTCTGCCCCATGTAGAGTTCTGTGTTCATTAGAATAAGTGGCATGCTGGCAGGCACACTGATGCAGCCTCCTGCCATCCTCAGGTTCTCATTCTGCTGTCAGTGCTTCTCATTGGATGCCATTCGTGTGCTGTACAGTCAAGCCCAGGATGGCTGCCTCTGCACTGCAAACATACAGATCATTCCGTGTCAATGTTCCCTAAAGAATGCGGTGTAGTAACTATTTACATAACATTTCCATTTAAATCATTTCCAAATGATTTGAAGTATGTGGAGGGTATATGCAAATGTTATGCCATTTAAAATTAGGCAGATTTGGGTATCCATGGGGGACCTGGAACCAACACCTCAAGGATACTGAGGAATAGCTATAGTGGGCTTCTGTGTTCTATTACTTGGAACACATCCTCAGCCCAAGACATTCCTGAGCACTCATCTCATATCTAGCTATTAGGATGCCAGATGTTTGGACCAACCCCCAGAGCCTTCTGTGTACCACATTTTAATGATTTGTGGTGAATAAAGTAAATGTTTTAAAACCAGATTTTATGAAGCAGGGACCCAGTTAAGTATGATGGATTGGAGGCAAAGCAAAGAGAAAGCTGAATGTTAATGAGGGTATCCTTGGCAATATAGGACAAGGGTTAGCATCTATCATTCATGGATAATTCTAAAGCCCTGCTTGAAAAATGAATTGTTAAAGAAACATCCCTACATAAGACCTGAATTGAATGGCATCAGTAGTAGACATGCTAAATGGAAGGTAGAATCTCAGGAAACCTCAACCTTAGACAAAGAACTATAGGCAACTAAAGAATCTTGAGAGTAGGAGAAATAGTCTTCATAGGGAAGAGAACACTGATTATCTAGTACTGAATGATCATCTCTGAAAACATGCATACAAATAACATTATATGGATTTAGGAATGAGCACACACACACAAACACACACACACACACATACACACAGAGAGAGAGAGAGAGAGAGAGAGAGAGAGAGAGAGAGAGAGAGAGAGAGAGAGAGAGAGAGAGAAACTTGGCTTTTTAAAGCTGTAATTTGGGAGAGCAAGATTTATTTTTTATATGTTATGTGTATAAATGTTTTGTATGTCAGTGTACCACATGCATGCCTGATACCTATGGAGGTCAGAAGAAGGCACCTGATGCTCTAGAACCAGAATTACAGACAGTTGTGAGCTGCCATGTAGGTATGAGGAATCAAGCCTGGGTCTTCTGGAAGAGCAGTCATGTTCATAATTTCTAAGTCATCTTTCTAACTCCCCATAGTACTTTTAAAAAAGGCTACTATAGAGGAGAATCCAGTTGGGAAAAGTAAGATGTTTGGTGGTTTTGTTATTGTTGTTGTTTTCTGTCTTTGCTTGTTAGCAGTCAGCAATAAGGCAAGACTGTTGAGCTAACATTTTAATGAACCCTCCTTTATTCTTCTTCCACAGGGCAACCCTTACATGTGCAATAATGAGTGTGATGCAAGTACCCCTGAACTGGCACACCCTCCTGAGCTGATGTTTGATTTTGAAGGAAGACATCCCTCCACATTTTGGCAGTCTGCTACTTGGAAGGAGTACCCCAAACCTCTGCAGGTTAACATCACTCTGTCTTGGAGCAAAACCATTGAGCTCACAGACAACATAGTTATTACCTTTGAATCGGGGCGTCCAGACCAAATGATCCTGGAGAAATCTCTCGATTATGGGCGAACATGGCAGCCCTACCAGTATTATGCCACAGACTGCCTAGACGCTTTTCACATGGACCCGAAATCCGTGAAGGATTTATCCCAGCACTCCGTCTTAGAGATCATTTGCACTGAAGAGTACTCCACCGGGTACTCCACGAATAGCAAAATAATTCACTTCGAGATCAAAGACAGGTTTGCATTTTTTGCTGGACCTCGGCTACGAAATATGGCTTCCCTGTATGGACAGCTGGATACAACCAAGAAACTCAGAGATTTCTTCACAGTCACGGATCTGAGGATCAGGCTGTTGAGACCGGCCGTTGGGGAAATATTTGTAGATGAGCTACATTTGGCACGTTACTTTTATGCTATCTCAGACATAAAAGTGCGAGGAAGGTAAGAGAATCTCTGTTCGTCTTGAATGGAAACAACTGTGTCCAAAAAATGTATGTTCACGGTTGGTGACTTTGGTCAATTTTTATTTTATTGTTTTCTGAGCATCATCACTATGCAAGGAGATTTTAAAGGCGTTTGAGACCTTTTGGCTCAACAATGATTTATAAACCCACATTGCCTATAAGTCTTCAGGCATCTTTAGAATTTAAACAAAAGAAAACATAAGATTCTTACCTGAATCACAGGAACTTCCTAGGTGAGGTGGGGCTAATATCATCCATACAGTGAAACTGGTCGTTCTGTTAGAGGGGCAGAGTGAAACAGGCTATGCCTTGCATTTCCCAATGCAAGTAAGAGTCACCACGCATTTGAGAAAATTCATTTATTTAAAGGGGGCAAGCTTCCCTTTTTTAAAGGTCTTGGACACTTTTTATATTAAAACAGTATTTTATATGTAAAACATGGGCTGGGGACGCTTCACTTTGTAGGTCAAGTACAGATGAACAGGACTACAATTGAGTTATAAAGAATTTTGAAGATATTTGAATGAGAAACTCCAATAATGAGAAGAAAAATTACCAACACAGAGATTTTAATTCAGCAAGGCTTGATGGGAGTGGAAGCATGAGATAGTGGGCAGAAAAAAGAGATAATCATCCTGGGCAGAAAAAAAGGAAAATATAAACAAAGAGATAATCATCCTTAAAATGTGAAAATATATTAAGATAACTGTGTAAATGGTACATCTGGCATATTGCTCCAAGTAAACATAAATTTAAACAGATAAATCAGGGTTCATTCAATTGGTTGACTTTCTGGTTCTTTTGGGTCTACCCAGTCCTCAGAAACGGGAGGTGCTGGAATTCTGGTCCTTCTGAGAGTTGCCTGCCACATGTGAGTAAACACGTGTTTGCTACTGTTAAGATTAGGGCAATAGTGAGAACAAAGAAAAGGTGGTAAGCTTTCCTGCTTAGAGTGGCGTCTAAAGTTTCAGGATGCTAACAATGGAAAGATAGCATGAATTTGGGGCTATCTGCTGTGCTTAGTCTGTGTTCCTTGTGACCAGTGAAAAATCTTTAGCTAGCTCCTGGAATCTGGTTGTAGCAAGGGAGGAGTGATGAGCAAAGAGGTCAAGACCACGATGCGGAAACCCACATTAACAACTGACCTTAGCAAGTTGGAGCTCACTGACTCTAGACTCTAGACTGGGGAACCTGCACAAGACCAAACTAGGCCCCCTGAATGTGGGAGTCATAGGCTTGGGCAGTCTATGCCGCCACTGGCAGTGGAATCAGTATTTATTCCAAGGGCATGAACTGGCTTTTGGAACCCATTCACTGTGGAGGGATATCTCTCAGTCTTGATATGGGGGAGGGGGAGTTCAGTCCTGTCCCAAATGATGTAACAGACTTTGATAATCCCCCATGGGAGGCCTCAACTTCTCTGAGGAGTGGATGGGGGGATGGTGTGGAGAGTGGGAAGACAGAAGAGAGAGGGAACTAGGATTAATATGTAAAATAAGATGTTTTTTATTTAAATAAATTAATTAAATAAAAAAGAATCTTTAGCTACAGATATTATTGTCACCTTTTAACCAAAGTCTTAGTGACAGATGATGACTACATCTTGAAAGCAAATTAGTGTTTTTGAGAAATTTGTGCCCTAGTGTTTCAATACCCACAGTGAACTTGAGACCCCTACTATTTAGAGAAGAGTGAATTGTTTAGCAGGAGACTATGAATGGGCAAAGGGAAGTTGTCTTTTGTTTGTTTGTTTGTTTTTTGTTTTTATGAGTCAGGGTTTCTCTGTATTGTTTTGGAGGCTGTCGGTCCAGCCCAGCCTCGAACTCACAGAGAACTTCCTGCCTCTGCCTTCTGAGTGCTGGGATTAAAGGCATGCGCCACCACCGCCCAGCTGGGAAGTTGTCTTATCAGATCTTAGTATGTGCTGTACCAAAATGTCCCATTATATTCAGGAACATTTTAATAAAAAAACTAGCAGTTTAAGACGTCACCTCATTCACTCTTGAAAGCAAATATTATACACAAATATTTGATATTTTTAACAACAGCATAACAACATCAAATGCCAACTATTCAACATGGCTGAAAGAAGAAGGCTCTAAACTAATAGGCTGAGATTTGTGTGGGTTTATAATATTAAATTCAGATAGGTCATTTTCTGGCAGTTTGAGAACTCCTAAACTGAGATTAAGTTTCTGTAGACCACTGCACCCAAATGCTATGATTTGGCTCTGTCAGAAAAGCAACCTTTCAGAGGTTTTCAGGTATGAAATAACCACTACACGAGCTTATATTTTTGCTCTTGGAAATTCATTTCTGTTTTCTCTGATTCTTTGAATGAAATTATAAAACAGTTTTGAGCTAAGGACGGCTTTCTGCATGCTCCATTGGAGTTAGCTGGGCCATCTCTTGAAGATGGCCCTCCAAGAACATTGAATCCCTCTGGACTTCTCACCTTTCTCTTAAGCCTCACCTTGGCAATGACTTCCAGCTGCTTTTCACTGGCTCTGAGGAGTTAGCAGGACCCAGATTCCAGCAAGCTGCCTTCCCTGAGTCTCACCTCCACTGTCATTCCTGCTCACCAGTTAGCTGCCAGCTGGTGAGAAGCAGCTGAGCAAAAGAGAACGGGCCAGTGGAGGTGAGGCACGTCCAGACAGCTCTGCTCTGTCACCTCCACAGTCTGTCCAAATTCTTCAGGGCAAACTGATGCTGGCATGTACTGCACTAGGCACCAGATGGCTGGAGTATTTTTAGTCCTGGGGGAGGGACTAAAGAAGCAAGGCCTGATGGCTCCGGCATGTCTCCAGCTTTCAAGTTATGTAAGGAATGTTTGCTCATGATGGAGCCACTAAATGGCAAGCTGAGTAAAGGTAGTTCATTAGTCCTTCCAACCTATACAGTGATTGTTACCATTGACAATTTCAGGATTCATGTCCGCGGTTGTTTTTCCCTTAAGCTACAAATCATCTATATAAAGACTATTAGTTGATGACCCCTATGTAAGCAAGGATATTGTTTCCTGCACCTTGCTTTTCCATTCTATGGCCACATAATCACAGAACTGTGTATGTCTATACATGTCTTTTTCAAGGAATAATAATGACATTTTTTTTCTGGTGGTCATTTATAATATCATCCAAGCAAAATGTGGAAATGTATATGAATTGTTATATAAACTTTGTATGGAGACCAGATATAAATATTTGCAACACTGTCAACAGAAAATATATTTTTCCATCTTAAAAAAATTAAACTATGAAATGGAAATAGCTGAAGATATAATGGGAACTTACATATGTAGATTTTATAACAACTACTTTATTTAAGCTAAAAGCAATGTTTTGACTGTCATTAGATTAATGGTTCATTCAGGCCAGTGATTCTCAACCTGTGGATTGAAATCCCCACAGGGTTTCACATATCAGATATTTACATTATGATTCATTGCAGTATCAAAATTACAGTTATGAAGTAGCAATGAAATGATTTTATAATTGGGGGTCATCACATCATGAGGAACTGTTGTAAAGGATCACAGCATTAGCAAGGTTGGGAACCACTGGTTTAGGCTCTTTTTAACACGGGTTATATACAGTATCTATTGAACGGATGACAAAAACTATAATATCATAAAATGTATTTCTCTTTTGCTACATGCTTATTTTGCTTTCATTTACCTCTTGAGTATTTATCAAGATAAAGAGGAAGCAATGCTATTGGCAATCTCAGTAACTCCATAGCACTTACATTGTTCAATAAACCTAATAATCTTCGTGGACTAATTCTGACTTATGGCTGTCCTGCTTCAGTAAATCAGGGTGATTTTCTCTAGTGAATAATAGAGAAGTGCAGTGTGCCAGTACCTTAATTAAAGAGCCACTCTCTTAGTCTTGATCTCATTTTAATTTACAGGGTAATACTACAATAATATCACTAATGGAAGGTACATTAAAGGGCATCAAGTAGCATTAACTGTATTAAATTATGGTACTTGTGTTAATTAACTGCTGAAGCAAGATGGTTCTAATGGCCAAAAGTTCGTCTAGTGCATAAATAAAATGTACCCAGATGAAAGGTGAGAGGAGAAATGAAGACTACATGTTTGTTCTGAACATTTTTTTTCATACAGACAGAGGGTTAAATTCAAAAGTCAATAAATATATAATGTCCAAAAGGTTTCTTAGTTACACAGTGGGAGGTTTGGATTTTTAAGTACAACATTTCCTTCCAAGCTTTCTTTCCACAAATAAGTTAATTAAAACCTGAATACTTGTCAGATGCATAGGTTTTATCAGAATATAAACTCAACACTCCTTTTTGTTTCTCTGAGGTAAGACTGAGGAAGTAGTGTGATTTATTATAATAGTTTTTTTAACTCTGAAAGATAAATGAGCATGTGGTAATAAGCCCATTTGTTTTTGAGATGTATTATCAGCAATGTATCAAAGTACTGGCTTTGGACATTGGATAATAGAATTTCTCCTCTAAAATGTAAACAGGAAGGTAGAATTGAAAGAAATGTTCAGATCTGATCAACATCTCAATTGCTTGTCTACTACAGTACATTCTTAAATGTAATTCATACCTTTTTCAATAATATTTATTCATTTCTTATCCCATGAATAGCCTACTCTACTTCCTTTACAGTAGGCTGTCAAAGTAACAAATAGTCTACAGTTTAGCTTATCCAGAGCTTAGCTTTCTGATGTTTTCATTGAGTCAAGTGCAAAAATGTTAGATAGAAAATTCCAGAAATAAGCAATTAATACGTTTAAGTGGATTTTGTTACAGAATATGGTTACAATCATATTTACTATGAATTACAATTGCTAGACACTCACTGTGACATATTTTTAACTTAAACTTTATAGGTATGTACACATAAGAGACAAATATAGTATGTATGGCACTCCATGCTCCCTTTCATTTTAGATGCTCCTTGGGTGTTTTGAAATAAAGCTATGCCCCAATTACAGA